GAATGTTTAGTGCTTGTGTGTTGGAGGTGTTTATTGTGTGTGTGCGCAGAGTTCTTGTGTTTGTGCATGCGTAGTGCCCTCGCATGTGTTTTCCCTTTTTTATGTGGGTGTTTTCTCAAAATTAGGGGCCCCTTCAGGTTGATTTCCTGTTGGTTTCCCCTTACCATCCAAGAGGGGGCGGCTATTTGGAGGAGCACTCAGATGGCCGCACCCCCAGCCCGCCTGAGTCTGATCGCGCTTTTTTATTGGGCGCGTGACCCGAGGGGGCCTTGGCGGTGGCGGCGCTGCACCTTGGACTAGTGGTTCTCAGTAGGCAGGACTTCCAGTGCCCTTTAACTCCTGTTGCTTAGACGGGGGGTTCCCCAATGCTAAAGTCGGAGTACTAAAACCCCGTCCCCCCCTCCACCCCAGAAGGTCCAACCTCGGATTCAACGGGTTCCGGGGAGATCGAGGACGCATCTGTAAATTGGCAATGTTTTAATTGGGCTGGAGTTGAAATCTAGTTGAATTGTTGTGGAGGAGAAGGGTTCGCCGAACCATACTCATTAGGGGTGGTCCAGGAGGAGCGTGTCAGAGTATAGAATTGATTCATATTGGATCTCGACAGTGCGCCTCAGTGGCATTCACCTATCCATTGTAGACATTACCTTACTCCCTGCTATCCTGGACTTTGAACTTGTTGGGAAGACCATTTGGTGGCAAACAACAAGTTTCGACTTTTCTCTTCACTTCCACTCAGGGAGTGAGTCACAGAAAAACCGCCACAAGAAGCGTGCCTCTCTTCGGAGGTCCGGGGTAGGAAATCACCGAGGATTTGGGGAAGGAACCGGGGGATCCCCGAGGAAACGACAAGGAAGGGTTCAGTTTGGGGCCATTCCCTTGTTCCCTCACAACCAGCAAGATGACCCACAGTTCCCTCGTTTTGACCTCGAGGGAAAACTGGAGAGGGAAAACATGAAATGCAAGGTGGGACACCCAAAGCAATTTTGCTGGACATACAATCCCATGCAAGTGATGTCCAATAAAAAGGTCCACGATTCAAGTTGAGACTCAAATTAGGAGGTCTCCCAATGGGGGTAATAAGGATGGTTTACGTGAAAGGAAATCCGAGACCACTTGCAGGGAGAACCACTTTTGAGACATGCAATATGACAGACAGCCTCATGTAGAATTCTCCATGAACATGTTGTTCATGTTTGTACACACCACTTTTTGGGTGGGAGTTGGCAGTCCGAGTGGGGCTCACTTGATTGTTTAGCGATGCAAAAGAGCTTCTGGACCACACTCCTCCACAGCAAGTATGATTTACATACGATTGAGGGGTCACTTTTGCTATTCTTTGGGCATTTACAGCCTGCGGCCGCCTCAGGATTGCTGGCAGCGCAGGCTTTGCATTGCTGCTGCTGGTAAGGGGCCGAGATGGAAGAGAAGCAGCTCACTCTCCCAAATGGACTATCAAATGCCTCCATTTGCGCCAGCTCATTCAATGCCAGTGAAGTCCAGAACTCTGAAACAAATCCAAACGAGCTCCTCTTCTCCGTGCACTCTGCTTCTGTGAAGCACTCTTTTTTCCAGACAGCTTCCCCACGGATGTTTGATCAGTTTCTTGCCGCATCAAGCAATAGAACCAGTTGCCTAATGGGCAAGGCCAGGGATCCATGCATTGCGTTCTTTGTCACTTTTGCCCAACCTGCCCTTAGGTCCACAACGAGCCGATTGCCGTTTCAGAGCAAGGCAAGTGGGTTCGCATTGAGCTTTGTCCGACACGGTTCAGTGTGCTGAGAGAGCGGCGGAGTCTGCCAACCAGCCATCAATTGCTGTCAGGGGTGCGTGGACAGCAAGGGCAATCGCCAGAATCACCTATCCTGCAAACTGATGCGTGCAACCGCATGTTGCATCCCGTGTTGCAGCTTGCCCTGCCCAGACCGTTCCAGCACCGGCATGTTGGGCTGCCCGGCACAGCTGCCACGTCTTGCGGAGAGAAGCGATCAGAAGGCGAAGCTTGGGCTCTGCGGAGTTCTACTCTGAGAGATAAACATGAAACCCAAAAAGCCCTTGTGTCTGGAGGAATGTCTTTTAAAGGACCTCTTTTTGAGTTCCTTTCGGAGGAACTTGCAGAGGACGGTAAGCTCTAGGGGTAAACTGAGCTCGCTGCAATGCCTCAGGTGTCCAAAGCAGGGAAGTCTATACGAACAGGCCTCTAATAGGTGACACATGGTGAGGGCGAACCTTCATGGGACCTCCAGAGGCACCCCCTTGGGTTTCAGGTTTCGTGACTTGGAAGTGCATGAACAGACACTCGGCTAAGCCTCCATGTTGTGCTAACCTGCACTGACCCGAGCCATGCTCCCAGGATTTGGGCAGAGAAACTTAGACAATCGATGCGTGCCTTTCTGGTCCTCAGTTTGACCTTGTTTGGTTCTTATTATGTTTTTGGATGCCTTTCCTCCCACGTTGCCATGATACCTGAGGGTGGGAGGGTAGATCAAACAAACAAACAAACAAACAAACAAACAAACAAACAAGCAGGGAGGTGGGGGAAGCAGGGACGTGGCCATATTGTTCATGGCTATGTTTTAGACAGAATGTCCTCAGGCAATCGCCGACATCCGGAACCCCCTGAAAAGTGGTTGCTGGACATGAATCCCCACCGAATTTTGATGACCACCTAAGAGTCCCTGAGTAGAATTCATACCTATGGCAGTGGGTTAAAACCCCGCTCCCCCTACCCCCCCTATTCCCCTCCAAAATGGACAGAAATAGTATCTGGGTGTTGACCCACATCCATATTACGCTTCCCCCAGATCCGCGAATTGGTTTTGCGCGTGGCGAAACGCGGAGCGGAGCCAGGCGTCCAGCAAAGGGGCGGGCGGAGCTTTTGCTTGTGACGGAGCCAGAATGGGCGGAAGGGGATGTTTGAATATGCGTCGATACAAGCAATGCATTATATATATGTATATACACAAAACATGATGTGATGTGTATAGATAGATGCATATACATGTGTATATATATACACATACATGGAGAGATACATTATACATAGATATTTGTTATGGTTGCTCTTGTTTTGTTTTTTGTTTTTTTCCTGAGTTGTCTTTTTTGTCTTTTTTTATGTTGTGTTCTGGTTTCTGGTTTCCTGGCTTGGGTCCCTTCTTCCGGAGGAACCAGTTTTTTGTTTTTTGGGTTTCCGTGTTGTTCGGTAGTTCCTGTTTTATTTGTTCTGTTTGTTGGTTTGGGGTCCTTGTTCTGGAGGACCCTTGTTTCTTGTTTCTGTCTTGTTTCTGCATAGTTTGGTGTTTTGCTTTTCATATTTTTAATTGGGGGAGAAGGGCATCCACTTCAATTATTTGTCCTCACCCCCGTCTTCTAGTAATGTGCCTTCCTCTTAAAAGGAGTGAGAAACAAATAGAAATCCAGCGCAAGTACAACGTCAGTTCGATTGATTTGCATGAGTTTAATCGCAAGGCTTTACGTTTAAGTAGGACTTTCATTAGAATTCATTTGAAATTATTAGTTTGAATTTGATTCTAAGTTGGATTTCCTTGTCAAGTAGAAATGTTAATTGGAATTTAACTGTCTATAGTCTATAGTTCAACTAGAACCTAGTGAGGAAACACAAGCTGACTGTTCATTTTTGTTGGATTTGATTAGGGTCAGATATCAACATGAATTCCTTTCCAAGTAGGATTTTATTGGAATTGAAAGAAGAACCCGTGAGGACGACAAGCTGTTGTGTTCCTTCCAATTAGTTTAATTAGACTTTGGGGTTAGAATTCAATCAGGACTTTCTTTCCAAGTAGGTGGTCTAGAATTTAGCTTCAATCAGAACCTAATAAGGAAAGCCAAATGTTAAAATTCCTTGGGGTGTCCCACTGCAAAAACAGGACCAATTGGGTACGAGGATGCTTTTGGAAAGCATTCAGCCCATTTCAGCAGTCCATTTTCTGTTTTAAAGCAAGGGCGCCGTACAAGGAAACAGCTGTTGCTGGTTGGTGTTTGGGTGCATTTGGTCCGGTACCCGAAAGTAATACCTACCAAGAAAAGGAACTTGTTGGTTTTGCTGAAGCTAACACCTTGCAAATTTGCCTAGTTTGCTGGTGACATTTCTGTTTGGTGGCTTTTTTGGCCTATTGATTTTCCTTCGACCTCAGCCTTGCCCGCAGGAGCTCGAGTCGCCGGCAGGCTTCCGGGCGACAGGTCCACTTGCCCCCAGAAAAGCTCTCAGAAGGAAGTGAAGTCATTCGGACTGTTGTTGGGGGTATCAAAGTGAGCAACTCGGGGTGTTTCCCTTTAGCTTCTAGGCGGTGACTTTGACAATGGTAAGACAATGGAGCCAGAGCAACCCCCAAAAAGAGGTCCACTCCCCGCAGCAAAAACAGATCGATTGTTCTACGTAAACGAGGGTGTTTATTGTGGGTCTACATGAATTTTGGGAGAAACATGCAGTAGGCCAGATGCATTATAGAGCTTCCTTGAAAAGCTTGTTTGTGGTCGGCAGGGTGCCCAGCCTCAAAAACGCTCAAAAAGTCCGGAGAAATTACTGAATTCACTCGAAGGCGACATTGCGGCACAGGCTTTGCGTATTGGCCCCTCGTCGTTGCGTGGTCTTTCAGGAATCTGTTGACCATCTCGATTGTTGTAGAACCTCTCTTGAACTGGGTCCCCGTACTTTGAACCCGGACGGGGCGGGGGGGGGGGGGGGCAAAAGGCAAAGGCCGCCAAAGTACTTTTGCCGGGCCCATCCAGCTTTTTTGGAGTGTACATGGGTGAAATCAAGCGTAAATAAGATCCGCTGGGTGGTATACTTGTTTGTATGTAGTCTTCTGCTTTATCATTGCACGGTGTCAATTGCCCTGCAGACATGCTGTTTGTCGCCCTTTTTGGAGGGACCCTTGCAAGAATCTTTGCAAGTGGTGCTGCTGCGAGACAGAGCCCACAAATATTCAGGTTTGTGTTTACGTGTCGTTGTCTTGGTGTTTTTGTTTAGTCTAGTCAGTTTTTGTCGCTCAGCGGACCTGTTTGGCTCGCTGCCCTGGGCGCGGGTCGGGGGTCGGGTCGGGGCCATGTCCTTCGCGGCGAATCTCACGAAGATCGTCGCAGGCGGGGGATGGGGGTGGTCGGGGGTGGGGAGGGTGGACAGGTCCAGTTGGCAGTTGGCCTCACTGCATGATGGCAGTTGGCAGTGGCCCAGTTTGTGCAAACCAAAGAGAGTGCCCCAAATCTGATCCTGTGCCCAATCAAACATCAGGTTGTGCATATGCTCCTGGCTGAATGTGGGGTGTTTGCATGTTTCCTTTCCTGGGTACTTCAGAGGAGCATGAGAGGCCAATAGAATGTTTTGGCTCCACTGAAACACCCGGCGGACATGCTGCCCATGCACGCTGGCTGAAGCCATCAAAAGGCTGGGTAACTAGCCCACCAGGATTTCTGCCCCAATAACAGGTTTCTTTTTTTTGGGGGGGGACCAGGGTTGAGTCATGCTGAGGGTCTTCGAAAAGGGCATGCCTTTCTGTTGGACCCTAGTGTCTGCCCATGTTACCCTAGCACGAACGCACCTAACACGAGCTCACAAGCGCATTTGGGTCATGGGCCAGCCCTTTGGGGAAACTCAAGAGCACTAGCGTCCAACATTGGGTCACGTTCTGTTTGAAAACCCTCAGGATAGTCTATGGGAGCCACCAACAGTTGTCGAGCCATCAGACTAGAGTCACTAAAACGGGCGAGCCCATACCGTTGCAAGGATTCATTTGAACAACCCTTCAGAGGGTTCATACGAGTGCACTCTTTTCTTGAGTCCCCCTTTTCGGTGTTGTGAAGGGAAACCACGAGAAAACCAAGTGAAACCACAAGTTCCCCATGTTTCTCCGATATTGGTGTGTGGTTTTTCAGGGTTCCCTTTTGAGGGTTGGAGGAAAGCCCACCGGAACACCGGTTCCAGGGTGTCCTACGGCCCAAGTCTGAGGGTCCCTTGCCGCCGCAGGCAAGAAATCGGAGCTCGCGGATCGCGAGAAGATCGCCGAGTCGTGGAGAGACAAGGAGGCGCGTTTCCGGGGACCGGGGACCGGGGCTCCGTGCCCGGGGAAGTGGCAAAGGAATCGGACGCGCAAAATGGGTTTCGGTGTTCCCTTTGGTTTCGCAAAGCAAGACAACGTGAAAAGGGTACCCTCAGCAAAAGACACCCAAGAGTCGAAACTAATCTTCAAAAGGGAAATGGCAACCTGGTATCCTTGCTTTTCTTGGTTGCCTCAGCCAGCGGGACACCGAAGGGAAGCTGCGAGGGCGCGTCCCTGATTTAAAGACACGGCCATTTGACGAGACGCTTGGGAGACCCCGAGTGGCTGATTTCATTCTCGGTGAACCTCCTTGTCAAGGCCACCCCAAAGAGCGTACCTAGTTGTCTGCTATTTGCGCTAGCTTCAGCTGTAGAGTCCCAACGAAAACGAGAAACTCATGAGCAATCTGCCATGGACGGTTGCAGATGGAAACCTATTCAAAAAATGCTTCAGCAGTGGCCTAAATCGTGGTTGGCCCTACCCTGGCGCTTGGAAGCATAAGATCAATGGTCGTGTTTGGTTCTTCAGGCAAGCCACACTCCAAACCCGGGTAGATGAAGATAGGAACACTCACCACCAGATCTAGGTGCGATCGATATTTGCCGTGTTCATTCTGTGCCATGGGGGTTTGGTAGAGCCTTGTACCGTTTTTTGTTTCTGACTCACTGGAACCCTGGCTTGCTGTTGGCTGATGGTACCTAAGGGAACCGTTCCGGAGCTGATCGGATTCGGTTAGGCCAAGCTTCTGGACGACGCTGTGGACCTGCCAGGGACTCGGAGAATTGGAGAGGGCTCCTGTCTCTAGTTCAGTGGATTTCGTTCGTTTTTCAACTTTTCTGGGGAAGGGTTCCCCTTTAAACTCAACCAACCAAAAAGGATGCCGATTCTTTTTTTCCCATGGCAACTGGGCATCTGAGTAGCCCTTGGGGTGCCAATTTGTGGGTTGCCAAGGGGGACGAAAGGAAAACCCTACCATTGTGGGGGGGGGGGCTACCCTTATGTAGTTCGTTGGAGGGTAAAAAGGTCGTTTGTTAGGGTTGCCGTATTTTTGAGACAGCCCAATTCTAGGCGTGTAGTTTGTTGTTGGAGGGTAAACAAAATGCTTTTGTTTTAAGGGACACCAACAAAGACACAATGTCGTGGTTCTCATGACAGGGACCCCTTTGGGAACCCTCAACAACCCAAAAGGGTGGGGGTGCCCTGAAGAAACACACAACTTGTTTCTCTTGGGATGTCAGGTAACCCACAGAAGTCCAGTGGTTTGAACCGCCTGATTCTTCACGACCGAATGCAAACCGATGTCCGAATGGGCGGGTTTTACATTGCAACTCAGTGGCGCGTGTTGGACGAAAATGTCAAGCTTGCACAGTGTATCTTCCTGATAGTGTTTGGTTTGTCGGTTGACAGGTGTTGGGTTTGTTTGTTCTTGGCTTGCCCTTCTTGCCGGTTTGGAGTCGTGGTGTTTTCGTATGCTATCAGAGACGTTGGATCTTATGACTGGATGCCAGAGCCCTGAGCCAGAATCAAGGCCAGGTCTGGGTTCGCGTCTCCGGCCTGGAGGAGGGTGGCTTCCAGATTTAGTTGAGTTTAGTCTTTGTTGAGAAACTAGCTAGTGGTTGGAATCTGTGCATTGCCGATGGCCTTCTTTCCGACAGGGAGCGACCCTTCCAACACCTTTGCAGAATCTCTCGTGGCGAGGAACACCATTTCAGACCCTTAAAACCGGTCTAAGTTGAAGTCTCCCCGGTTGCCCTCGCGTGAGCGATCTGCGAATTGATCAAAAGGTCCTTTACATGGGATGACCATTGGGGAAGACCACCAAAGATTGTATATATTCCCACCAAATGGGCAGAGTCACCCATGGTCATCCGGGGGCCCTTAATGCAAAATATTGATCAACCCCCATCTCTTTCCTGAGGTTCAAGCAGCGCTGCGTCAAGGAGGCTGAGCAGCAGAAGATGGAGGCCACCATCTCCTTCGAGGCGGGGTTCTTGCGATTGGACCCACAGGGGGAACCGGAGGATCCCGTTGAGCCAAACAACTTCGGCAAACCAGGGGATTTTATTTATTTTTTTATTTTTTTTCGACAGGAACTCCCTATTGAAAAGAAACAAAGAGCAGGTGGGCAGCACTGGAAAAACTGGATTCTGCCTGCATCCAATCATGGAAGCTGATGATTGCAGAGTTTTGGAAGCATACTTTCCTCCTGGGTTTGGCCCCCTGTTCACCAAACTATGACTGTTGGAAAGCGGCCAATTCGATGTCGGCTGGGAACATTTAGGGGAACGCGCACACACACACACAACTGGGTCTATTGCAGTCAACATGTTGAGAACGCTTGGATATTGTTGGAAAGTGATGTTGAAAAGACAAAGAACTGGCGGTCTGGACGTGGGGTTGCCTGAAACAGACTGGTAGAAACAGACAGCGCAACTTGCTTCAGCGGCCCGGACTGGGGAAAATCAAGGATGGAATGTGTATCTTTTTCAAGAAGCCACATCCAAGTTCGCGAACATAATTGGATTATGTTCGCGCAATGCTGCGGAAGCGCTAAAAGTAGAACATGAGGATGGTCATCGAGCAAAACATGCTGGGAAAACAACTGGTATTCACCAGAAACTTGGTGGATTGAAATACACTGCCGGGGCTCATTCGAAATGGACGGGTCTTGCGAAACACCGCAAAACAAAGTTAATATGCAAGTCTCCCGCAAGTTGACAGCGTGAGAGTCGTCTATTTTGTGGCATGTTTCATGAAGAACATCACCGAGAAAGCAGGCAGCCACAACAAACACGCAGGCAGCGAAAGCAGCCGTGCGAGGCCAGCAAAATCTGCCCAGAGCAATGAACGGCAATCGGAAGTGAAGACAGTGGACACAAACGAAGCCACGACAGGGAGTCCAAGTATAAAATGCGAGTTTGAAAGAAAGGAGCAAGCAATGGATGAGCCGCGAACAAAGACAACACGCCTGCCACGCGACAGAGGAGCACAAGACCTAAGCCAAAACGGGCATCATCTGACATGAGCATGAGAAGTATTGCTGTGGGGCCAAAACGCAGTGCCATGTTCTGCAATCATCCCCCCTTCCCACAACCCCTCCACCCCCCCCACCCGCCCCCCCACCCCCCCCCTCCCCCCAACATCTCCGAGCAAACTCCGCAAGCCACGATACGTTCAAAAATCATGTCATCTTGTCGGGGAACTCGCCATCTGGAGGGACAACTGGGCGTGGAGAGGTGCAGGAGCTCAGACCTGAATTGCGCACTTGTGAATGCGAGCCGGACAGGTGATCACCAGGGATATCACTGACTTCCCGAAGCGAATCCTCACAGCCGCCTGGCTTTGGCAATGGGGATCTCTTTTCGCTTTCATAAGGTTCGATGAATATCACGTTGCCCTCAATGTTCTTGGTTTGGATTGGTGGTTGGGAGTTTGATTCTGGTTCCATGTTTCAACCTAGGTGAATGATGCTCGAGCTCGGGCGCATATGATCTTCTTGAAGGGTATTTCATATTCCTGTCAACTTCCATGGTTGTCGGAAGAGGCTAGTTAAGTGGCAATCTAGTGAAGCTAGCCACAGAGTGCGTCTTTTTGTGTGGCCCCGCCGTTTGTGGATCATATTGGAAGCAGAAGAACCCCCACACCAGTCAGAGAGATGCTTGTCTTCCGATTTACCCATAAACATGAGGGACAATAAATTTCCACCATCGTCTATAGCCGAGTTGCTTTCTACGTATAGCCCTTATGAGCGAAACCCCTCAAACGGGTCTCAGGTTGGAAAGGGTTTGTTTCAAATGACTCGCCGTCGCCACAATCGAGCCACCAACATCTCGGTTTGTCACAACCCTTCATCTACGGTGCCTCCAAGGCCAATTGCTGCCCTTTACAGTTTCAATCATGGCCAGGCAATGAACATGCTGCAAAGGCCGGTCTTTACAAAGGGGCACCCTTGTCACTGACGATGGCGGGCAGATTGCTTTGAAAATAGCTGGCCCTCGTTTCAGTTTGGTTCGAATGCACCTAGGAGACGCCCAAAAGTTACATCAGTTGTCTCTTAATCTGGGGTGATTTCTTTTCAACGCCAGGATAGCTTCTGCCGCTTTCATGGTGAGCTCGCCTGGCAATATAAGCTTACCGTGGTATACTTAGGGATTCCTTTGAGGCTTTGGAATTGTAGAATTGGCGTTTTAGTTTGTTTAGCTTGTTTGTTCTTGTTTAGTTCTTTGGCTTGCTTGAGTCTTTTGATTTCTTTTGTGTGTTTTAGCTTGTTTTAGTGTTTGTTTGCATCTTGTTCAGCTTGTTTGAGGCTTGGTTTGGGTTTGGTCCCAGGACTCCACCTACTTCGTGGACACCTGGCCGTCGGGCACCAGCGCGGAGAGCTGGTTCTACGCGACGCGGGGGGCGAACTCCTCTTGGTCCCAGGGGGCGCCCATCCTCTTCGCCGAGGCGCGACATCCGATCCGATCGGATGCGAGGGGATTCGGATGGATTGTGGGGGTTTGGTGGGTTTTCTAGGTCCCAGAGGAGTGCCCTTTTACCCTTTTTGGGGGGAGGGTTCCCCTACGAAAATCGACTACAGAAAAAAGGGGTACCTTTATTCTAACCTGTCTACTGGAGGACCTAGTTTTACCAAGCGGTCAGATTGGGTCCTGTTGGATCTCGTGCTTGCTCATGTCGCGTCCTTTTTAGGAGGCCCCCCCGTTTGGCTTACGATTAAAGGGAAGCCAGCAGGAAACCAGCCATGTTTGAGCTTGAAGGGAAATCGCCCCGCAAGGAAGTTGAAAGCCCAAGGAGTTTCAAGGGAAAGCGCCCTGCATGGTATGTTGAAGGGTAGCTGCGCACGCGGGAGGCTGAAGAGAACTGAAGCCCCAAATTCTGGTTCCTGGCTTTGACCCCTAACATCGCAGGCCAGCGGTGGGTTGCGGTTGGTTGCGGTTGGTTGCGGCTGCTGTCGAGTGGAGCGATTACGAATCGGCACAAGTTGTAGTGTCATGGCCAGTTTCTAGTTGGTTAAATGAGTGGCATGGGTCCCATGAACCAGCCACTTGAAATTATTCAAGGTTCCACAATTATTGCGGTCAGTGCGTGCGGTTCTTTTTGGGTTGTTCTTTGCGCATTACAACAAAGGAATCTTAGAGCACAAAACCGGTGATGCTGCGATGCCAGTGTCGTGGCTTGATCATTCTTTGAGCATGTTGATCCTTGAACTCCTCAAGAAAGAGAGCCGTCTATGAACATCATGAGCAAGACTCACCTTGCATGTAAGATGTGCCTACGCTGAACATGCGTGTTGGACTGTACGTAGCTGCGGTTTGGGCCCCCTTATAACTTGAGTGGCAAATGATCCATGTGTGGGTGGCGTCCAACTCATACAAGGAAGCGCACACATGTGTGAGTGTGTGTGTGACGCCTGAATCATGGCTACCGGTCACTTCCGACATGTTTGGATGGTTATGGCTTTGGGCCCTTTGACCGAGTTCCTGGACTTTAGTCACTCTTTGGGTTTGGACAAATTGGCGGTTAAAAAAAGGTGGATTCTCTTTGTTTGGCCAATCCACTCGATCGGAAGTGAGGGAATTTCTAACACGGCCCGCAGAGTCACGGCGCAGGTGCTGCAGGCGATGCTGCCCAAGTTTGTAGACCGGGTCAAGGAGAGCGGGAGCAATCAAGTTTCCATTTACCAGGGTTCCATTTTGGGTACAAATTTTTGACCCACGGCCATATCAAGCCCGGATTTTGCTGGATACCCTTCCTCCCACTAACGTGGCACCTGGAAGATCAGTTTCCGCTTGGAGGGACCTTCTGTCAGGTTCCATGACAAGGTGGGAGAGAGGTGTTTGTTCAAAGCACTGCGGCCCCGGGCTGGAATCTTCGGAGACGGCGCGGCTAAGCTTGGAGAAGCCCAAGGAATGGCAGATTGGTCCAGTCTGGCGAGATGCGAATTTGCCTCTCATGGAGTCCTTTCGGGACATACTCTTCCAGGGGAAATTGGTCCTTCCAGGTGAAGTGTATGGTTCACCCAGACCGAATGCGAAACCCGAGCGCAAAATTGTTTTGCAAACGCCTCGCCAAGCGTTGATTGCTGCAAGAATGCCGACGCCGTTGGCATGATCCATGCAATATGAGAACCCGCGACCAATGAACCTCCGGAGGCCTTTCACTTTATTGAGGGACTATAAATCCGGTGTCAACATTGCCAGGAAGGCAAGGTGCCACCAAGAACCTCATCTTTGAGTGTAGAATGAACCTGGGGAGAATGGCGCGAACCTACTCCTTTCCGCTCAGAAACCACATAAAGACAACACACTATAGTATGTATGTATGTATGTATGTATGTATGTATGTATGTATGTATGTATGTATGTATGTATGTATGTAATGTATGTATGTATGTATGTATGTATGTATGTATGTATGTATGTATGTATGTATGTATGTATGTATGTATGTATGTATGTATGTATATGTATGTATGTATGTATGTATGTATGTATGTATGTATGTATGTATGTATGTATGTATGTATGTATGTATGTATGTATGTATGTATGTATGTATGTATGTATGTATGTATGTATGTAATGTATGTATGTATGTATGTATGTATGTATGTATGTATGTATGTATGTATGTAATGTAATGTAATGTAATGTAATGTAATGTATGTATGTATGTATGTATGTATGTATGTATGTATGTATGTATGTATGTATGTATGTATGTATGTATGTATGTATGTATGTATGTATATGTATGTATGTATGTATGTATGTATGTATGTATGTATGTATGTATGTATGTATGTATGTATGTATGTATGTATGTATGTATGTATGTATGTATGTATGTATGTATGTATGTATGTATGTATGTATGTATGTATGTATGTATGTATGTATGTATGTATGTATGTAATGTATGTATGTATGTATGTATGTATGTATGTATGTATGTATGTATGTATGTATGTATGTATGTATGTATGTATGTATGTATGTATGTATGTATGTATGTATGTATGTATGTATGTATGTATGTATGTATGTATGTATGTATGTATGTATGTATGTATGTATGTATGTATGTATGTATGTATGTATGTATGTATGTATGTATGTATGTATGTATGTATGTATGTATGTATGTATGTATGTATGTATGTATGTATGTATGTATGTATGTATGTATGTATGTATGTATGTATGTATGTATGTATGTATGTATGTATGTATGTATGTATGTATGTATGTATGTATGTATGTATGTATGTATGTATGTATGTATGTATGTATGTATGTATGTATGTATGTATGTATGTATGTATGTATGTATGTATGTATGTATGTATGTATGTATGTATGTATGTATGTATGTATGTATGTATGTATGTATGTATGTATGTATGTATGTATGTATGTATGTATGTATGTATGTATGTATGTATGTATGTATGTATGTATGTATGTATGTATGTATGTATGTATGTATGTATGTATGTATGTATGTATGTATGTATGTATGTATGTATGTATGTATGTATGTATGTATGTATGTATGTATGTATGTATGTATGTATGTATGTATGTAATGTATGTATGTATGTATGTATGTATGTATGTATGTATGTATGTATGTATGTATGTATGTATGTATGTATGTATGTATGTATGTATGTATGTATGTATGTATGTATGTATGTATGTATGTATGTATGTATGTATGTATGTATGTATGTATGTATGTATGTATGTATGTATGTATGTATGTATGTATGTATGTATGTATGTATGTATGTATGTATGTATGTATGTATGTATGTATGTATGTATGTATGTATGTATGTATGTATGTATGTATGTATGTATGTATGTATGTATGTATGTATGTATGTATGTATGTATGTATGTATGTATGTATGTATGTATGTATGTATGTTTGTATATGCATATGTATACTCCAAATATACAAAATAATAATACTATGTATACTTCACAAATGTTCGGCAGGTGCGATGGCACACGTGGCAACCGTGTCAACTTCCCCACGTGTTGATCGAGTTTGTGCACACTTTCCGTAGTAAACTGCTCCGTTCTTTGCAGAAGCCGTTTGCATTGAACCGGAATCAACCCCACTGAGCTTGGACCAATTTCTGTCATGCCAAAGGAATCCCCTTGAACAGATGTTCCAACACATTTTCTCCAACAAGAATAATGTTCCACTTTGAAAGGCCCTTATGTCTCTCAACCATGAGCTAACCTCTAGTCTCGGGTAATCCTCCATTGAGCAGCGCCCAAAACCCCAATTGGCCGTTTTCAATGGACGGCTCCAGCTGGGTGAGGTGGGGAGTTAACCAAAACTCCTTTAAAAGCTTGACAAGCCATGTTAGAGCCAATTATTGTAAAGCCTGCAAATTGATAGAACAGTTAGAACCCAAAGTCATCCCCGGGTTTGTTTGTTTTGCGCTGAGCGTCCACTTCGCGGGCGTCCACTTCGCGGGCTTCAGGAGCTCGGCTTTTTGGAGTGCAACCACGAGGCAGGCACCTGGAAAGTGGCGGTGGTCTGGGAGGAACCCGAGAAGTCGGAGCGGGCCCCAGCCCCGCGGCTCGAGTGGGTTTCCCGGAGACGTGCCGATCAATTGAGGCACAATCAAAACCCGGGGAGATGAAGGTTAATTTCGTGGTAAACAGGAAGTGCGGACTTTGTTGTGGCCAATCTGCTCAGGAAGTAGGGTAGATGAAGGTTTTATGAAGGAGAATCCCCTTGCGATAAATGGGTGCCTTCTCCGCCTGTCTAATTGTCCTTGCATGGTTCTTGGTACACCATTCTCATACCAGGTTTTGAGTATGACTCATTGGTTTTTGTCCAAATTGGCAAATTGCCCTTTTGGAGGTGGGCGTTTCACAGTTTTCTAAAATGAAGCCGCGATAATTCGGACCGTGCCTCGTATGGAAACCCCCGTCGTTGGGGTTGTCGTTCTTGAGAGTACTTTTTTGTTTGATTGAAAAAGTATATGAAAGTCCCGCCAACCATTTGGGAGTCTCCCCTCAAAAACAGATACCTATTTGGGAACCTCAACATAGGATTCGGTCCATTTCTTAACATGGCAAGGGTTATCGTGTGGCTTCCTCCCCTGCTTGAATACCAACCATTTGTTCTGTTTTAGGTGACATTGACCTCCCTATAAATGGTTGTTTAATAGAGAATCGGGGTCACACCTCAGGTCGGGTACAAGCATCCTGTAGACAACCGTCTTGTAAGATCACACACTACAAAATGGCACTTTCATGTTGTAGAGGCTAGTGTTCGTTCTCATGTAAATGGGGTGCCACATGGCTACTGGGATATAGGTGTTTCATGGTGTTTCTCAACATTGGATTCGGGACCCTGAAATGCCAGCGGGTGTTTGGTGGTTTCCCTCAAATGGCTCAAAAATCCCATATTTGTTCTTCTCAATTAACCAGCTTAGGAGAGGGCTAGGCGCATGTTCCATATCGTTTGGTCGAGCTATGAAAGAATTTGGTGTTCTTTGCGGTGGTTACTGATAAGGGATCAGGATTCGCCGAGCCTCCAGTATGAACAAGCCAGAAATTTGGGATCAGCCTGTAGCGTACGTCATCGGTTCGTTCAATTTGACGTACCTGCTTGCACCGGAGCAGCTGCAAGCATGCAGGGGTCATTTTTGTGCGCCTCAGCCACGATAGGTCTGGGCGCAAAGGGTGGCAGAAGTATGGCGTTGGGTTTCATGTTAGCCTGACTTTGAGGGTCCAACAACTTTACACGAACAGTGCCAAGCAACCAGATTGGTCAAGCAGTAAAGCGAGCAGAGGCCTCTGTACAAGATCGTGAGGTGGTAAGGGTGGCAATCCCTTCCAAGTGATCCAAGTGTTGCATTGGGGTGTACAACTTTTTTGGGAGGCGGGCGTCCAATACAGTTCCCCCTTCTTTGTGAAAGGCATTGCTCATTGGGTACATCATTGTAACCACCATTGTAGCTACTTCTTTGTCAGTTGGAGGATGATAAGGTTAGAGGGTTAGAGGTGTAAGCCCTGGCTCAACCACTGACTGGTTGATGCGAATTCACTGACAGGGTGTGCGTTAACAGTTCTTTCCACCTGGAAAAAGAGGGATGCAGGGTTGGAGGTTGATTAGTCTGGGTAGAGTGGAGATCTGGAGCCGTTCTGGAGGAGATGGCAGGTGGGGCAATCTTTGTTGCGGAAATGTGTTTAGACAACATTGCGATGTTTGTCCCAACCATAGTTGGGTGCCAATTTGTTCGCCATGCGCTCCCGACAAAAACAACAAGTTGCATTGGGAACGCTCATTCCAAACATTGCCTACCAGGCGAAGGTATGAGCATCAGGGTTGGTGGTGGCGTTCTGACATGATGCCCAGACGCTGTTGCAAAGTTGCAGTATGCTAAGTTTGACTTTGCGTGTCGATGGATGAACAGGGTTGTGGAGTGCCTCAAAAGCAAATTAAGCCAATTTCCTAGGACAATAATGTATAGAATTGTGTGCAATGTTTTGGCGCCTTGCACAATTTGAAGTCACGGACGTTCCCTCTGTGCCATGCCTCCAAGGAGAAGAACAAGAAGCGGCGCAGAGACTGAGAAGCCTGGAAAGGGCCATGGGCCATGTCGCGCGCGTAGCAGATCGCCTATCAAAAGGCATGCGCCCAGCCGTCATGTTGCAAGCTTGTTTCTTGTTGCGGTTGAATGGAATGACATGCAATGGCCAAGTTAGGCTGGTTTGCCTGTCTCCTATGGCTCCTGGGCAGCTCACTTGGGGCACACATGTATTAAAGCTTCCATATTTGAAGTCAATGAGCCTGGCTGTTCCGATAAGTATGGTGGTACACCACATGCAGAGGCAACTGTCTTGCTACGGGACAGGCATAGTCAAGGCTTTGCCTATTTTGCAGCTTCTCTTGGCATGGTCCATGGTTTGCACTGTAGGAGCCATTCCAATCCAAGAGTTTGCAAATGGGCTCTCGCAGTTGCAACATGTGGATCGACTGAAAGATAAGGCAGAAACTCCGCAGCATGAAGCACATGTTGCAGGGGGCAGGTAGGACACTTTTATCTCAAGGACCCAACGGGGTCACGGGGCATTTTGGGAGCGCGGGGTGCAATTGGACAATACAGGATCTGGGTGCCGCCTTTTTGCCGCATTCGGCCGCGCCAGCAAAACTGGACCCCCAGCCCGGGCCAAGGGTCTGAGCGAACGGGGCACCTGGTAAGACAGAGAAATCTAAGAGCAATAAGTTTGGTCACCGGCTGATTTTGAGGATCCGAATCCTTGAGCACTGGGTTTTTGGATGTCTCCCCTCAGGAATGTCTCGAAAGCCCTCAAAAGGCCACGGGCGAAGCTTCCCCAGGGAGGGCGTGACTCGCATGGCTCGCGGCGGCGTGCCGCACTTAGACCGAATAAAGACCGGAAAAGGAGGCAGCTACCCGTGGGTGGCTACTGGCTAAATATGCGTTATGCTGTCTCCCACGTTGCAATGGCACCGAGAGACCGGTCCCTCCAAGAAGAAACGGATCTTCAGGGTGTCTCCCACAAGGAAGCGTAAGTTACGCAAAGAGAAACCACAATGGCGGGTAATCGTTCAATTCAGGCAGACCACCTATTTTTTCTGCGCCCACAAAAGGGGGCCCGCACGACACGCTCCTGCACCAGCATCCCCGAGCTTATGCATACTGCATGCTGGAGGCGTAACTTCATTGGCCCGCAACCGCTGCCTTGCGCTTTGCTGTCTTTGCTTCCTAGGATGTCCACTTAACACATATACCCTGCATCGGAGCAAGTCCACATATACCCAACTAGCGGTGAAGCCGACCTCGCTGGTGATGCCTTCAGTCTTGGTCCCTGGTATCAGTCAGCTTGGTCGTACCTACGCCCAGGACCAGAAATATGATGTGCCCCTCAGGCGAGGCGTTTCCCTTGCTGACTCCTTCTGTCTTTGGCGGCAGGCGCAACAGCTCACGCCCAGCAGCCCAGGCCAGCGACCCGGCGCCTGGCCCAATTGACTGATCTTGGCCCTTGTTGGGGCCTCCTGTTACAGGCTGCACAAAGGTTGACTGAATTGCATTTGTTCAGCCAGCAAAGAAGAGTTTGATCCACGGCTTGATCAGTGGTTGGTTGATCAAAGCCCAAAAGTGCGCAGTTCGCAATAGTTGATATTATATAGATGTAGATGGGTTGCTTACATAGCATTCCACTTCCACCCCCGTACAAGGAATTTGACTGGAGCTCCATTTCAAGAGCAGGGATTCTTCCAGGGTGCTGGGTGCGTGGGTGGATGGGTCAGTGGGTCGGTCAAGGCACCGGCCAGTTGATCAGCACAAGCAGTTTACTACCAGGCACACATAGGGGACAACCTGTCTTGACACACCAATGTATCCTGAAAGTTCCAGGGGGTACACAGAGGGGTACACAGGGTCCCTGTACTTGCCTTGCTGGCCAGTTTCAGCACCTGTTGAGCCACTCTTAGATCAAGTTCCTTTTTGTGGCGATGTGAAAGGGTGAAATATCGGGTAGCAGCACATAAAGGTAGTAGGAAATGAAATTGCTGATAAATTAGCAACACAAGCATGAAAATATGCCTCTTTTATGCCGAGCTCACCGTCCTTCACTTGGGGATCCCTGAATTCAGTTTTTGGTTTTATAGTAGAATTTGCAGGTCAGCATTTAAAGACAGTGCCGGTTTTGCACCTGGGTCTAAAAGGGCATGGCCGAGCGCCCATTCGGGAAGTCTCCGCAGGTCCAGAACTTTGCCGCCGGCAGCCCCGGGTCGGACGTCCGGGAAGTGAGTCCGCTTGGTTCGGTAGACTGTCAATGGGACCAAACTCGGGCCCAGAAAGTCGGACCTGATATTATCCACCATGGGGTTGATGATGTGGGGAACGGGGAAGCCGTATGTTCAGCTAATATTAGGTCCATATCAGCTGGGTCCGACTTTCTGGGTTCAAGGCTGGCCCGTTTGAGACTATCCTTTTGGAAAGATCGACCACTAGGATTACGTCTATGGTTCGTCAAAGAATGGAATCCTGGATACGAGCACCTGCGGGAATGGTTCCAAACCCTACCCTTGGACTTTTAGACAAGCTCGAGTTCAGAAGGGGTTATGAGATATTCGACTAAAAGTGTAACGTTTAATAAGAGATCAGCGGAGGATGAATTGCATTTTTATCTGGTTACATACTATAAGGAGTCTTGACATGGTGCCAGTTGCTCGGCCGATCTGAGGACTACACTTGTGCTTTTGCCAGAGACGCTCCTTGGCATGGCCAGGCCTGGCCGGGCTGCCAGGTTTGTGGCACTGATCAGACTGAACATAGGTTTGGTTGAAACTGCGGATATGCGAGTCTGCCAGTTGCAATATGTCAAGTATCGTAAATCCTTGCTTGCTCGCCGTTGTTCTGACTGGCTGCTTGCCTGCCTGCCTGCCTGCCTGCCTGCTTGCTTGCTTGCTTGCTTGCTTGGAAAGCAGCCCGGGAACCAGGCAGCCAATCCCATTCTCCCACATTTGCCCAGAGAACCAGCAAGCTTGTAGAGAGGGAACTGTCCTAGAGCAAACTCTTTGGACGCTGCGGTGGGGTCTTCGGCAACCGCTCGCTGTTCTACCTCTATCCTCATGGAGCTGAAGACTCTGTACTTACTTGTTGACTCCCAATCCCCCTAGCCGTTTAGCTTCTAGATGTCCGATTCAAAGCCCGTTCTTTTATGGGTGCTTGTTTTACATGCATCTTGGCGGTTCCCAGCCATCCCCTTAGATCTGTAGGTCTTTAGTTGGTTTAGTGGTTGGGTTTCCACTTAACCCACAAGTTATTCACTTTTAGCAGGGCATCCGAAAGCGGACAGCCCCGCTTACAAGGCAACCGCAGTCCTTGACCTCGCCTCAAATTTTGTTTGCAAAGCCGGTTCTGGGATATGCAGTGAACCTGAAACAAAACAGATCCCAATTTGCCAAAGCCGGGCTGTGAGGATTCGCTTCGGGAAGTCAGTGATACCACCAATGAAGGGTTACCTGATTCATGGGAGTGACCCGTCGCTGGTATCCCAGAACCCCGATACTCTCCAGGCGTGGCCGCCCTTGCGGCCCTCGGTGGCCAATCTTTCCAGCAATCAGCTGAGAGAGCGGCTGGGGAGACCTTTGAACAAGGATGTGCTTCTGTTCAATAATAATTATTATTATCCTGGCAATTGTCTTGTACAACCATATCTATACATATATATATATATATGTATCATTGTTGTGGGTTGTTTAACTTGTTTGTTCAATGGTTTTAATTATTTATGTTATTCCTTTATTTTCTTGAGGTTTTGAGGGGGGGCCACGGCTTCCGTTGCTTCCACCAGGGTCTCACTAGGCAACTAGGTAATTCTACAACTGGGTGATTGTACCTTCAATGCCCCGTGGAAGCAGCCTGACCTCAAGGAACCCTGTTATTTGACCACAACCTTTTTGTGGAGCCATACACCGCAAGATTGTGTTTAACTGTTTGGAGGTGACAACGCATATGTCATCCACGGTCTAGAATTCGATGAGGGTACACTCCTCATGCGCCAACATGTAAGCTGACTGGAGACCGTCGAAGGTAGTTTTTGTTGGCTGCCATGTTAGCGGAGGGTAGCCTTCCATAATGCCAGATGGTTGCAGCTTGCTTCGAAGTCAGTCATCAACAGGGTCCTGAATAGGTATGTCCCTTGTTGGGTGATGTGGGTTAACATATCAAAGGATTTTTACGGCGTGAGCCAAGACTAGGGGGCCTTGTTGGGGACTTAGGGATGCCGAAATGAAGCCAGCTGTTTTTCACGCATTTAGGCTGGACCGACTTCAGCCAGAGCCTCAGCGACTAATGTGAAGCTCGGATGGATCGACCCCGGTCTAGGGGTGTTTGTGGGTTTAGTCGGGAATCACTTTTGGAGGGGAACACCCCACATGATTCGGATGGGGTTGCTAACCCGGGGCTCAGCTTTGGGAGTTGTCTATGTCTCGGTAGCGAACAGTCTTCAGCAGAGTCAGATCCTTTGAAGTTCAGATCTAAGGTGAGGTGTACGTCATATGGGACAGATGCGCTGGTGATTCAACCTTCAGTTTGTGTGTCCAGGTGACACTTGCCGAGGCACGTGAATGGAAGATTGACAATGGGTTCAGACCTTCAGTCCCAAAGAGCAAACGAGCACACGCATATTGTCTTTTTGACTCACGCCTGGATCTTTTTGCCAGAGGGCGCGTCCTGCGCTTCTTGCAACAAGGTTCTTGGTTGTTCATACTGTGCTCAATTGGGAAGGCAGTTGCATGATGCTGCATTACCCCAATTGTAGGCAAAATTAGGGCTTAGTCAAAAGGCTCATTCATGTTCATGTTCCCTCTCAAGGATTCAGTTTCCTTGAGCTGATTTGTTCACAATTGTTTATGCCAACAGCTGCAAATTCAAACTATGATCCGGTCGGCCCCCTCACGGAACTCTGCCCAACACTGCCAAATGTGTGGCCTACCCAAGAATGCAGGTTTCTTATTCGAGGCGTGCCAAACTGGCCCCAAAACAGGTGGCAAATGGACCACCTCTGACCTTGCTGCCCGACCCTTGTGAGGGTGGTCCTTTTGCCACCTGTTTTAAAGCCAGTTTGGCACACCTCCAAGAAGAAACCTACACTACGTAGGCCACCTTCCGGGAGGTGAGCTACAGAAATCAAGGGGGCCCTATGGTTGGCCTACGCCTCACTGGGACGCCATGCGCCGTGTGAGAGTCCCAACAGCAAGGACCCGTTGGTACCAACGG